GGAGGTTTCAAGAAGAGATCAGATAACCATTTGTCTGAAATGGTATAGACTCAGTTTTCTGCTTGAGCAGGAGATTGGACTAGAATGGGTAGGCAACGTTGGCTCTTTTATGACTCGTGGACTTCAACTCCCAGAATTCCTGAGCCAGCACAGCTCAGCTTGGAAACCTCTCCCTTTCCCCTCAGCATGGCTGGCTCAGGGGAAAGGGAGAGGTTTCCAAGCTGAGCTGTGCTGGCTCAGGAATTCTGGGAGTTGAAGTCCACAAAAGAGCCAACGTTGCCTACCCCTGGACTAGAAGACCTCCAAGGTCCCTTCCAAATCTGTTTTTTTGTTAATTCAAATTAAATCTAGAATGAAATCTGAAGTGGGGTGGCAGCAAGGCTTGGTCTTGGGTTTTGTATGCTTCTATGTTGGGTCAATTGTTTGGGTGAAAAGGTGGGAGAAAGCTTTGCTAAATTTTCAGTTGAAAAATATGAGTGGGACAGTTCCTATTCTGGAAAACAATCACTGCATTCAAAATATCTTGATAAGTAGATCAGCTGAATAACATCTAGTAGTGACCAATGCAAAACTTTTCCCTCAGGAAATCAAAATAAAATGCACAATTATAAGATGGGAGATAGAGGATCGATAAGAGGATTTGTGGAAAAGATCTCAAAGCAGTTGTTGACTGCAAACTGCATATGAGTCAGCAGAGAGATAAGACTGCAAAAAAAATGTAACTACAGAGTTTGGTCACTATTTCTAGGTGTTATTCAGCTCTAGATGTTATTCAGCTCATCTACTTATCAAGATATTTTGAATGCAGTGATAGATAGAAGCATCATCCCCAGATCAGTGTATTCTTCACTGATACATCACTTTCAGTGTTGTGTTCCTTTCTGGGCCTCATAATTTAAAGATTCAGAAAAATTATAATAGATACAGGAAAGGGTAAGTCTTCAACATACGACCACAATTGGGACTGGAATTTTGGTCGTAACTCCTGATGGTCATACATTGAGGCTCCAGGTGACTGAATCCAATTTTACAACCCTTTTTATGGCACTTGTTAAGTGAATCATGTTGGCCATAAGTCCAAATCCATTCTCCTAAATGGGTGTTTTTGCCAGAAACAAAAGAAACCTGCAAAAAAAGTCGCAAATCGTGATCATTATCAGAGCATCAAAGATGATCAAGGATCTGGGAGGCTAAACTGTACAAGGAATGGTTAAAGGAACTGGATATGTCTAGTCTAATGAAGAGAAGGACTAGGGGTGACATGAAAACTGTCTTCCAGTAGTTGAAAAACTGTCACAGAGAAAGGGGCTCAATCTATTCTCCAAAGCACTAGAGGGCCGGACAAGAAGTAGTGGATGGAGAATTATCAAAAAGGGATCCAACCTGGAACTAAAGAGAAATTTCCTGACAGTAAGAAAATTTATCAGTGGACAGCTTGCCTCCTGAAGTTATGGATGTTCCATCACTGGAGGTTTTCAAGAAGAGATTGGACGGCCACTTGTCTGGAATGGTATAAGGTCTCCTGCTCCAGCAGGGGGGTAGATTAGAAGACCTCCAAGATGCCTTCCAACCCTATGATTCTGGTTTGGCTAGGCAAGGGATAGGCAACCTTGGCTCTTTTATGACTTGTGGGCTTCAACTCCCAGAATTCCTGAGCCAGCCATGCTGAGGGGAAAGGGAAAGGTTTCCATGCTGAGCCATGCTGGTTCAGGAATTCTGGGAATTGAAGTCCACGAGTTACAAAAGAGCCAAGGTTGCTTACCCCTGGGCTAAGCAGAAGAGACAAGTAACTGATAGGCCTTGGATAGTCTGTCTTTCGTTAATGTCCCTGAGATGACAATTTTGGGAACTAGTTTCCAAATATCAGTGATCTAGGATTTGTAAGGAAAAAACCTCCCACTAACTCTTGGCTTAGAATTATGTGTGACTACATAACTCGAGTTAGCAACCATTTTTAGTGAAGGTATAACATCACTGAAAATAGTGATTAATGATCATTTTTCACACTTAGGTCGTGTTCACCTTTTGCAACCTTCTGACAAGTAGACTCAACACGGAAGCCAGATTCACTTAACAACTGTATTACTAGCTAACTGCAGTAATTCACTTAACAATTGTATTACTAGCTAACTGCAGTGATTCACTTAACAACTGTAGCAAGAAAGGTTGTAAAATGGGGCAAAACTCACTTCTTCTGTCTTGCTTAACAATAGAATTTGTGGTTGTATGTCAAGGAATACCTGTACCAGATTTTCAGAAACATTTTTATCCCTCACTTGTAGAAATCTTGTTAACCAATGTCTTCATCCATTGTGGTGGCCAACCGCTTACCACAGCCTTTTCAACCTGTTTTCGCTTCACATGAGTGGACTTCAACTCCCAGAATCCACCAGGAGTCACACTATTGCTTGAGATAGGACATTGCTGCCTGGGGAATTCTAGAAGTTGAAGTCCAACCATCTGAAAGTGACTGAAATTGAGAAAAATTAAAGTTGAAATCCAAGCAACTCTTTGGAGAAAACTCTCCTTGAGGTATCTCCTTTCATCCCTGGTCAGGCAAGGCTTTATGTTACGTGAAAAACAATCCAGTGATGGCATTCATACATAAGCAGGAATCCCAGGTGTAATAAACCATGAAACTCTAGATAACCTAATTACCTCCATTTTCTTCTTTCCAGTAGGTACTATGTCATAATAGTGTCAAATAAGAGAATTTTGTACACCATCTTAACACAGCTTTGTAAATAGGAGTGCTCAAACAATGAAGCTAGTTAAAATGAAGGCTTGGGTTTTTTTTAGGAATCTTGATCCTTGGGTGTGTTTAACCCAGTAGCCTGGTTTTGGGCATTCTGTGAAGCTTTTCTGTGTCTGGTTATGTCATGTACTGTAAAAATATAGAAGTTGCACGTATATACATGCAGCTATCTTACATTTTGGGATACAAACTCCACAGATTCCTTTCCTGTTATGTGTTGACGTTTCTTCAGAAGTCTCCCTTGGAGAGGAACAGAGAGGGCTAGAAGAGGGTCATACAGCTGCAAGCTCTTTTCCTCTACTTATTGTTTCCCAGCTATTCCACCACCAAGTCTCTTCAAAAATTAACATGTCGGGAAGATAACAGAGATGGTGTAGATGGAGAACAGGTGCTGTGATCTCTTCATTTGAACTGGAGTGTCCTTCTGAAAGTTAAATTACCCCAGTGTTGCAGAATGGATCGTTGGGTCAACTTTCCAGCCAGGCAGCCTTGCCCTTGTTGTAGAGACTCCATTCCTTGACTATTTTCTTATTTTGTTTTCTGTTTGCCTCTAGCAAATTCTTTGCATTCCGTGGCCTTTCAGCTTACTCCATTAGACCATTTGGGAAGGTTGCTCCTTCAACCTCCTTTCTTCTCTTAAAAGTTTGTTCTTCTGCAAACATTTGGTTTCCCCTGAGTCTGCTTGATATTTCTCTCTTGTGGCTCAGTAGCCGTATTTTGGCCTCTTTCCTGGTGGCATTCCTGCTAAATTCAGTGCTAGGAGGAGAATTAGATTTCATGTATGGCCTTCATCAGTTTGACTAGCTCAACGTATTCTAGCATATTCTCTTCCAGTTTTTTTTCTCTTCTGTCTGTGTCCATTTTGCGGTGATGAAGACTAGAACTTTCACCTGTAGGAACCCGTCTGCATCTTGAGTTACTTTACAAAATAGATTACATGCTAACTACATTGTGTGAAAAGCCCAAGCCATTTTAGCACAGAATAATTAAAGAGAACAGCCATGCTCAGATGTGGAGAGTGTCTTCAAAAGTTGGCAGTTTTTAAATGAAAAAGGACAATATGCATTCCCTGAAAAGAATTCTGTGTAATAAGTAGCCAGGCTCTACATAGCTCAAGGAATATGCGATTGACACAGTGCCTAAGTAAAATATGCTGAGTTTGGTTTGCTTTAGCATGCTACATGAACTCAAGTGTCGTGGTTGGCAAACTGAGTTTTGCATTAGTGCAAGGGTATCCAACCTTGGCAACTTTTTAAGATTTGTGAATTTCAACTCCCAGAATTTCCCAGCCAGAATTCTGAGAGTTGAAATCCACAAGTCTTAACAGTTGCCAAGGTTGGACCTCCCTGCCCTAGTGTGTGGGATGTGGAGAGCCAAGAGGCTCCTACAGGAACCAAAGGAAATCAGCTGGCACACAAAGGGACCTAGCTGGTTTATGAAATCTGGGAAGAAAAACAGATTTCCGTCAGTGTGTATATATTGTATGTGTGGGAGAGGGAGAGAAAGAGAGAAAGCGACGGCCTAGCATACAGCCAAGATCAGCCAAGAAAGCTTGCGCTGGGGAACTCAATCTTGGCTTATCTCCCACTGCAGCTTTAGAAACTGGAGATGCAGTTGTGTACTCTCAACCTTCACAGGAAGGGGTCTGTTCGAGAAGCTGTGAGGAAGGAAAGGAGAAGAACTGGAGAAGTTGATTTCCAGGGTTATGTCAACAGGTGACCTCAGAAGTTGCCAGAGAGGATTTGTGTCCTGTGACATCTGTGGTGCCACCCTTGTAGGTGTCTTGATTACTTTAAGCCAGAGTATCGAGGTGTGCCTTCCCTCTTCTTCCTGCTCATAACCTTTCAACTTCCTATTTAGAAGCAAAAGTTTTTGACTACTCAGCATCACACTGATCTGGTTATTATTTATCCTATGTTCTCACCACTGCCTGAGAGTTCACATCCGCTGCATGGAAGATAATCCACAATCTCTGGTGGTCCCCCCTCCCCCTCCAATGCTGTGCAAGCTTCTCTTCCAGTCCTGTGGTTCCCCCCCCTTCTTCTTCTTGTAGTAGGACACAATAGGTTGAGACAGGAGTGGCCCTTTTTAAATAAATACTCCAAGGTTGTTTGCTTTGGGCAGGAAGCTTCTCAGTGGCTTTGCTGAGGGCCATCTGTTGCACCAGAGGCCGTTAAGAAATGGTGGGGAGGATTAAATTCTCATTTTGCGTTTGTGTGATTTGTTCCCTTTTGTTTCTGTCCAGGGGTTGGCAAAAGTAGCCTTCTGCTCCGCTTTGCAGATAACACCTTCTCAGGTAAGGAACTGCCTCCTGCATCAATGATCATTGGATGGGTTGGGAGACCTGATTCTTGCTGTGCACCAAAGATGCTGCAATAATCAGCCCAGTCCAGGTCAAGCATCTTTGGATAAGATGGATTCTTGGCTTTAACATCTCATTTTTAAAAGCAGTTGTAATAGGCCCACTAGAGAAGACTATTTTAATGCAAAGACTCAAAAAAAAAAAAAAAAAAAAGCAGGATAACTGTGCTGGTCTGTGAAATGCAAAAAAATCACAATGCCCAACTGGGCAATTAGGAGAAGCAGAAATTCCACAAATGAGTGTGTGAGTTTTCCAGAGATTTTTCTCAGGTCTGTTCCGAAGAATGTAAAGACTCCCTCCCTGCTTTGTGACACTTTAATTGGTCACAATAACGATATTGCCCAATTGTGGATTGTTTTTTTTTTTAATTTAGCCAGCGTTCTTTTATTCCGTTTTGCTATAAAAAAAAGCAAATTGTACTATCTGCTCTAACTAAATGTATTTCTATGCTGATTGTGTTTTCCTGCTAGGGGAATGCTGTAATTGAATACTTGCTTGTTTAAGATTGTATGTCTTTGCAAAGTATTGCAACATGAATTCTTTTCAAAATAAATTCTTTCTCGTTTGTCCCTCTCTCCTGCTTTGGTTGAGTTACTTCTCTCCATTTTATTTGGCTCATTTTCAGTATGCAAAGTTAGATTGTAATTTGCTGGTTGGCCAAACTGTTGATTAAATGACCAGTAAAAACCTGCCAAAAATTCAGACTGTATTGATTCTCTCATAGCATTTATTTTGAGCAAAATTCCTATATTTTCCTGTTAGAAATAGGTTGCGCCCATAACTGATATTAGAATCCTGCAAATTCTAAGAATATTATATCTCTTTTTCCCATTGAGTTATTCAGTGGTCTCAGTAGTCCTCAGGTTAATGACCATTCATTCAATGGCCATTCCAAACTACAATGGCACTGGAAAAAGTAGTTTACTAGTCCTTGTGCTTACAACTGTCGCAACATCCTAATGGCCACATGATCAAAATTTGGGTACTTGTCAATCAGGGTGTATTTATGACATTTGCAGTATCCCGGGGTCATGTAAACACTATTCGCAACTTTCCCAGCTGTCTTCTAACACAGGGGTCCTCAATCTTGGCAACTTTACTTTGCTGGCTGAGGAATTCTGGGAGTTGAAGTCCACAAGTCTTAAAGTTGCCAAAGTTGAGGACCCCTGTTCTAACAAGTAAAGTCAATGGGAGAAGATGGATTGGCCTAATGACTGTATGATTTACTCAACAATTGCACTGACTTGCTTAACTATGACAATCTCTTTAACAATCAGAAGCAGAAATTCATCTCCCAATTGAGATTATAAATTGAGGACTACCTTTCTTTGATCTTTTGAGTTTCACAATGAAATTTCTAACCCTTCACAATCCTGACTATTTTTTCCCCCTTAGTAATAACAAGATTGGATCTCGCTTCTCTTTTGCAATAATGCATCGTAAAACCTAGCTTTAATATTTCTGGGTTTGTGCATTAAAAAGCCATATTTTTTTACTGTTTTCTGATTTCTTTTAATTCTTTCTTCTTTCTTCCCTGTGTCTCTCCAGGTAGCTATATCACAACAATTGGGGTCGATTTCAAAATCCGGACACTAGTGATTAATGGAGAAAGAGTGAAGCTGCAAATCTGGGATACAGCTGGACAGGAACGGTTCAGAACTATTACCTCCACGTAAGTCTAGGACACAAGCTGAATGGAGTGGTAGGGCCTGAATACTGAAGAGTGGGGATAAATTAATGAGAGGCCTATGAGGGAGCCTAGGTCAGTGGTGGCGAACCTATGGCATGTGTACCAGAGGCGGCACTCAGAGCTCTCTCTGTGGGCATCCGCACTGTTGCCCCAGCCCCGCCTCCTCCCACGGCTCCCTTCTCCCCATCAGCCCCCCCGGAGGAGAGTCACCCCCGAGTACAGCCTGCATGGAGCAGCACAGTCAAGGACATGGCAGCTGGGCTGCAGGGACAAGACTCCACTGTTGCGCCCCGGCGTGCGCAGTTGACGCTGCGGGGTGCAGGCGGAAGGGCGGGCGGCCATGGCACTGAACTGCCTGGGTGATCTGCTGTGGGCCATGGAGGCAGTAGGTGGCCCTGTGGGTGGGGGGGGGCGTGGGGGTGGAGTGAGGCGGGTGGGGGCAGAGTGGGGGCGGGGAAGAGCTGGGTTTTGGGCACTCGGTCTCTAAAAGGTTTGTCATTACTGGCCTAGGTATTAATTAGCTAGTCAGCAGTAAGCAACCTTTTCACATGATGATTCTCATTTACAATTTTGCAAGGTAAAATAAATAAAAGTTCAAAAAAATTGTGTGAATGTGCTTCCTTAAAAAGCCACAAGATTTTTGATCCAGAATGAGAAATTATTTTAAAAAGTTGAATACAGGCAGTCTTCGGCTTACGACCACAATGGAGCCCAAAATTTCTGTTGCTAAGCAAGAAATTTTGTTAAGTGAATTTTGTCCCATTTTACGACCTTTCTTGCCACGGTTGTTAAGGGAACCACTGCAGTTGTTAAGTTAGTAACAGGGCTGTTAGGTGACTCTGGCTTCCCCATTGACTTTGCTTGTCAGAAGACCACAAAAGGTGATCACATGACTGCGACCGTCATAAATATGAGTCAATTGCCAAGCATCCAAATTTTGATCACATGACCATGGGGATGCTGCAATGGTTCTAAGTATAAAACGGTTATAAGTCACTTTTTTCAGTGCTGTTGTAATTTAGAATGATCACTAAATGAACTGTTGTAAGTTGCGGACTGTCTGTACTTGGATAATGTGGTAGGATTCTAGCCATTTTTATTTTTTTAATATGGGGGGGGTGTCTTCCCTCCTGAGGTTTTATGGACACCTCAGGGCTAATCACTAAACTAAATGTAACTCTTGGTGGGCCTACAGAACTGCTTTGAAACCTCTCGCTGAAGGAAGGAGAAAGATAGATAATTATTTTCTCAGTTCAAAGCAAGTCATTGTTTCATTTTCTTTGGTGCAGGTATTACCGCAACACCCATGGTGTCATCATTGTTTATGATGTGACAAACGCCGAGTCCTTTGTTAATGTCAAACGTTGGCTGCATGAGATTGGACAAAACTGTGACAATGTGTGCAAGATTTTGGGTGAGTGGTTTTGCTATCATCCTGTCTTCCCTCTCATCTTTCAGTTCAATGACCGAGGTTGTGAGTTTTCGTAATTCTATCACATTACATTGGAACCTGATCGGGCTAATAGAAAATGCATGAAATTTTCTCCAATAGTTTTTATTCATACCAGAAGCAGAGGAAGTAGATTATGAATACTTCATGGTGTCCTGCTTGTTTCTCAGAGGGTGAGGTATTTTTCTTATTTCAGGAATATCCAAACTAGAAAAGTATCTTCAGGGGCATTGAGGTTTTGGCCTCTTCATGTGTCTGTTCACATGTTTACAATTGCTTAATTCTTCTTGGTTGCTCTAGAAACAAACATTAACTCCAGAGATATCTCATTGAAGGTTAGCTACGGAAACTTGATAGAAGAGTCTTTATTTATTTATTTATTGCAATAGTAGCATTGCATTTGAGGAAATTATTTGAGTTGCTATGGTTGCATCTAGGAGCAGGACAGGCAGTATTGTGTTTCCATTCTCCTTGCATTTCAGATTATGAAGCACCGATTTGGGCCATTTGAACAAGTTTTTGGTTGGTACGTTCTTCCTCAATGGAATATTCCAGCTACTTTATGTTGGAACTACAACTCCCACAATCCTCATGTTCGTTAGGGCTTCTGTAGGCCCTGCCTATTGTTTGTAGTGATAGGAAGAATATTTTACTGAGATACTTTGCAGAGTGATACTGTGGTGGGTCTTTGAGGATTGAAGATAAGCTGCTAGATCCACTAACTAATGATTGGCCAAAGCTAATCATCTGAACATTTGTCACATGCCTTTCACTTTGATATGAGTGATGGCTTATGACAAAAAAAACATTGTGGTTTACTGACTGCAGGACAATTCTTTCTTTAACTTTCTTTATTTAATACTGCCAACTATTAAAATCTCTCAGCGGGTTTATAAAAGGGTAAAATAAAAATTCAGCTGAGATATTGGCATAGAACTAAACCCAGTGACTGGGATTTCTAGAGAAGAAAAGATATGAAATTATTATATTTTTATCTCATCTTTCCCTAAAAACTCAAATGTAACAAAGATGAATATATTGCTTATAGAAAATTGTCCCAAACAAAATTAAAGCTAGTTTTTTTTATCACATTGATTTACTTGCTTTATCCAAGAGATGAAGAACTAATTGATCATCTGTTGTGGATTAGAAGGCCAAGTAAATATGGAATTTTGGCTTTGCCTATTGCAAAAACTGAGAGACCTTAGTTAGGGTTAATTCTTGCTTTGTTTGCTGCATTGTTCTCTGGTAAGCCAAACAAAAACCCTCTATCTATCTGCAAATAATTTAACCAAACTATGAATGGCTTGTTACCACAGGCCACTCTAGTGAGTGAAAAGGCAGATTTCTTAACAAGTCGCTCTTCCATCTTAAGCAATTAGTTCACAGAATTATCTTCTTTAGAGTCTTTTCCCCAAAGCGTAAGACAGAAAAAGTACTATTTAATATTATCTGCTTACCAGTGCCTTTTAAAATGGGACACATGGAAATTGGGGCATTTATTTGGACAACATATGCTATGCCACTGAACTGTGTCTTTGTGAAAATCCTTTTACACAGATACAAAAAGGATCACTGCAGAAATCATTAAAAGGAGCCAGGTTGAGCTGCTCAAGATTAGGGAGAGGACTATAGCTTAAAGACAGTCTGATTGGTTTTAAGATGGGATAGGTTCAGAATGAAGACGCAGGGGGCCTGAATTATCTACTGCTTGTGCAGAATGTATCCCATAGTATATTAAAGGATTTGGATTGTTTTCGTTGCTCTAATTCGCCTCTTCTATCCCCTCAAAACAGTGGGTAATAAATGTGAGGACCTGTCACGGAAGCAAGTAGAGACAGCTGATGCCCGGCGGTTCAGTGAGCAAATGGGAGTGCGGCTTTTTGAGACCAGCGCTAAGGAGAACCTCAACGTTGAAGAGGTAGAGGCAGAGGTGGTTAGGAGGGCAAAAGTGGGAAGAGAAACGGAGGCCTTCGTTGTTTCCAGAGGGGATGGCTGGGGCTTTGGGCTGAAAAAAACCTGGTAAGATTTTTCAGTTCCCTCCCCCTTGTATATTCCATCCATAGATGTTCAACGCCATTACCACCATGGTGCTCCGAACGAAACAGGAAAACCTGGCACGGCGGCAACAGCAGAACGAGGTTGTCAAAATCAACAAGCCCAAAAAGAAGCCTTCGGTCAAGAAATGCTGCTGAAGGGACAGCCCCTGTAGATGCCCTTTTCTTTTGGATGGGGGGGGATGATGAACTGTGGGGAGTTGGGTGGGTGAAAAAAAATCATGGCTCATGTGATGTTGGGGATGGGGCTTCTGGATCTTGATCAGAGGGGCAGGAGAATCAGTATGAATCCTCCTAGCCCTGGAATTCTTCTGTTCCCCTTTGCTGGGAAAGTTGCGTTGTGGGGATAGAAAACCAAATTGAAGCACTGCGTTCCCTGCCTGCTGATAGGCTGGGGTGGTGGTGTAGGTCGTGCTTACAAAAAGGGTGGGTGGGTGGGAAGTACCGAGCAACATTAAAAAGACTACTGAAACAAATTATTAAGGTGATCAAAATAAAGAAGATGTGGGGCGTAGCTGAGCCCAAGGGAATTGTCCTTCTCCCCACAACTGGAAAAAAAAACCCCTCTTCTCTACAGTGATGCCTGCTCATTGTATTTTATTTCTCCATTTCTGGTCTGAAGGCTGGGTGCTGGAATTGCAGTATACAACCGATAATCAAATTTCACTCATGGCAAGAATGCTGCAGGGTGAGGGAGAAGGTGGGCATTATAATTATTTTGCCACAAGCTCCTCCTCTGTAGCTGTACCTCAGTTTACATAATAATAGGAGGAAGTGGAAGAAATCCAGCAAAACATTTCAGAATTTCCCAGCCGATAGTATTGGGGTTTTTCCTTCTCATCTTTCTTTAGCCTTGCTCTGAATAGGAATGGTTTAGGACCAAGCTATGTTGCTCTCCTCTTAGGATTTGGAGAGTTTTCCATCTCTTCATTAGCCCCATCCTTCAATCCAGATGTTGTGAGAAAATAGCTAACTGTCCACATGGTGAGTTTGAAAAAGGACTTTGTCACCTTTGCAGCTATAATTGAAGTACCATTCAGTCATTCATGTTTACCTCCAGAAACAAAGTAAGAAATGGAGGCATAAACTTTTAATATAGGAATATGAAATTATGTCTGGATTCAGCTGATAAGTTGCCAACTTATGATTCCCAACCTTTGGGTATTACAGAGACTGTCCCCTTTCAACATTGGGGCCCTTATACAATTTATTTGCTTCATTAATTATTTTATATACACCCAACTCTGTAGATAAACTAAAACATCTCATTTTAACCCACTGCTAATGGCATTAGACTTGTTAAGGATATACCACTGTTCAATAAAGACATTTAGATATAAAAACACTTCTGCTTTTATTTGCCTGTTAACACCCATTCCTTAGATACCAAAAGGAAGAGTTCATCTTTATGCCTCTCAAATAACATTTGGCAGTGTAAAAGTGTTGAATTCTCTTTATTGGAAACAAAAAGTCAAGAAAAAAAAACTTAAATTCTTCCAACTTCGATGGACATTAAAAATATGTGCTAATCAAGTATAAAAGAAGTGGTTGGAATGCCCATTTAACCCTTATTTAAAGTATATTACAGTATCCAAGTAAGTATTCACTGATTGCTTATTGAAAGAGAAAATATAGTGATATATATTGAACTTAGTTGCAGGTATACTGTACATTATGGGGATGGAAGAGATAAGATCAGATTATTGCAGCTGGCTAAAAACAAATGCCACCATGGCCAAGTAAAATATTTGTAGTAAAATGTTTATATTGACTGGATAAAGGTGCTTTTTGTTGACACAGCCAGACAGAGAACTGAATTTCACTTCAAAGGGAAGTAAAATTAGGGTTGGTGGTTCATATTTCCATTTCCTCTTGGTTTGACACTGCTTCTAGATGGGGCTGGACCGATGAGGGAGACATCAGTGTCCTAATGGTGTGCAAGAGGGAGTTACTCTGAGGGCTCCACAGGACAACTTCGGTACAAGGATTCCTGTGAAAATTAGGGAAGCCGATTAATTTTCAGTCCATTTTCCTTATTATATCTTCTTTCCTGCAAGTAATCTTTGACATACGACCGTAATGGAGCCTGCCCATTATGATCGCAAGTGGTGATAGCTCTTAAGCGAGGTGGCCTTGCTTAAGAAATTCCCACCTCACCAGTCGTTAAGCAAGGACTACCTGTACTTCATTAATACTCACAGAGAAAGAAACATTTCTTCAGGGGTGACACTGCTTTCTTCAAGTCCTTCTAACATGAAAGAAGACGGCACCAGCATAGGGCAGTCTCCCATCATGAATTCACCATCTACAATGACTGTAGTCAGCTCTTCCTCTGTAAAGTTGGTTTCTTCACTTGCTCCATCTTGAGACAGCCTGAGATGTAGAAGGCTTTATGTGAGGAAGTCATAATATTCTACTTCCCTGAACCCAGTTTTGTTAAAAGCAGAAAGCTGCTATGCTTTCTGGTACCTCTGTTGTAGCTCTTTCAACTGTGTGTATGCCTGCTGCCATCTGGGGTTTTCACAGCGGACAGGGAAGCCGTTAGAACTGTAGATGTGGTCATTGTCCAGGCTAAGGGAGTTAAAACGGGCAGCCATCTTCTCCTCTGAGAGAAAATGTTTAGAACTGGGTTCCCTGTTGAGGTGCAGAAAGCAGTAAAAATTCACTCCCCGATCCAATAAAATCCTAGTTAGAACCGAGGAGTGCCGAGCAAACCATGGTTAAACTAATACACCCCTTATGGAAGGTGGCACTTCATTACAAACATTTTGGAAGGTTCTGCAAACAAGGAGGACCTCCAAAACACAAGGTGGTCCTTTATACAGTGTTTCTCATCACTTATGTTGTTGAATGTCTACACCATGATAGCATGAGAAGGTTCCAGAAAGCAACATGAAGGGGCAAGCTTAATCACAGGTTATTAATTGACAGCTTGGTTTGTTGGGTTACTGCTTAGTCTTGTAAACATATAGTGACTTAACATCTACCTCTGAACAAAAACTTAAATTTTGCCAGACTAAGCCATCAAGTGCCATCTATATACCCAACAATATGGAATACAAAAATGAATTGGGGCAATTTTTTTTTTGTCAATGCCTTCTTAGCTGTACAGTAGCTGTCATTTTCCTCCACACTTACTGATCTTGGCTTTCCAGATGTCGCTTGAAAGCAAGGGATACTGATCGGTACCTAAAAAAGGGAATTAGACTTGCATTAAGAAGCTAAACATTCTTGATTATTTTTGCACCAGCAACATACCCTTAAAATAAAATATTAATAGCACTTAGACTTATATACCACTCCATAGCCCTTTACAGTACTCTCTAAGCAGTTTACAGTGTCAGCATATTTCCCCCAATAATCTGGGTTCTCATTTTAGATCTCAAAAGGATGGAAGGCTGAATCAACCTCAAGTTGGTCAGAATCGAACTCCTGGCGGTGGGCAGAGTCAACTTGCAATACTGCATTTTAACTACTATGCCACCACAGCTTATAAAATGTCTAACACAGACATGTCAAACTTGCGACGTCATGTGACGTCACACAACATATTGGAGCTTTTTTGCCATTGCCGGCAATGTGGTGGGCGGGCTCCGGTATGATGAAACCGGCCTGCGGGCTGGCAGTTTGACACCCCTGGTAACGGCTCCTTACTGCCTTTGAAAATCCAAAACCTTCCTTTTGGTATCACTTTTATAGTATTTTTATATGGCAAACCCCAAGGTGTAGTCCACTCCCAAGTCCTTCACAGCTTAGGTGCAGTTTTTTAAATATTTCCCAATCTGTTTATTGTCATAGTTATTTCAGCAGCAGACAAAACTCCTGACCAAGCTTTTGTTATCTTTTATGGTTTAATTGTTGGATGCTACTATATAAATGATTTTACAGTTTAACTAAGCTGTGCTTTTTAAATGTTTTTGTACAGAAGGCAGGTTATATGCCACCAAGTTGGCAACAACTCTTTGTAAATAAATAGATTTTCTCTAAAAGTAATGCATATTAGGGTGCTACTCAAAAATACTATTAAATATCCAAATAAACCTGCTGATACATAGCTTGCTGTTGCCTTCTTTGCCTCAGCACCCTTCATCATCTTTCCTTTGAAGCAGAACTGGGCATTTTACACCCCCCCTGGGCCATATCCAGCCCCTTGGCTGTCCCTGTTTGGCTTGCATGAGGTCAATCGGAAATTAGAAATCAAGTGTAATAAGTGTACAATCCTCTTAGTTCAGCCTTCCACAACAATCCGAGTTTCTCATGTGGCCTCTTGGGAAAATTGCCTATCCCTGCTTTGAAGGAAGGCTAGTTGAACCACAGCTTGAGTGCCACAAAGATGCCTCTAGCAGCTCTCTTGACATCTTTTTAGATGCTGTGTGAATAAATGCTAGATGGATAAGTTCTCCTCTATCTCACACCTAAGCATAAACAGAATCTTTTCATATTTATCTGAAAGCCTCACAGCATATGATTACCGAGACCCTTGTACACCACTGAAATTCACCAATCTGTGTCTGGGTTTCATCCGTGGAATGGTGCATGGCACATCACGTTCCCAGTTTGGGAGGATGTTGTGGCTACAGCCCATATTCCTTGACAAGACAGAGCAGTGCAAAAAATGCCCAGAAGAAATAGCTGAAGGAGACCCTGGGTTTATTGTAGGATTCATCTGTGGAATAAAGCAAAAGAATTTTTTTTAAAAAAAATTCTCAACAGAGATGTGAGCGTATTGAACGGGTCATGCTGAATTTGAGCACTTTTGAGAAGGGCAACTTAAGTCAGACTTGGACAGCATTTATTGGGTTTTTTATATATATAACTTTATTAAATTAAAAAAAGCAAATACAAACTAAAATAAAAATAAGGGAGCAGATAACAGGGAAAGATTAAAAGGTGACAAAAATATATAAAAAGTGACCAACTTTCTGTACAATTACAAAATACAGAAACCTCTAAGATTTAAGTTCTTTCTTGAGCCCCAAAATTCTACCTGGGCATTTATCAGGAACATAACTGAGCTCTGCTAAAAGTATCTTGACTTTTAAAAAATATTAGTAGAGAGCATAAAAAACCATGCAGAACACTTAAGTGCACACCAATTGTAGGTAGTCCTTGACTTATTACCACAATTGTTAAGTGAATCACTGCAGTTAAGTTAGTAACATGATTGAATGTTACTGAAGCCATGGAATCTGGCTTCCCCCATTGATTTTGTCAGGTTACAAAAGGAGATCATATGATCCCAGGACACTGCAATTATCATAAATATATGCCAGTTGCCAAGCATCTGAATTTTGGTCATGTGATCACATGGATGCTGCAACAGCCTTGTGAAAAGCAATCATGTCCCTTTTTTCAGTGCCGTTGTAACTCTGAACAAATGGTTGTAAATCAAGGACTATCTGTATAGTAAACGTATATTCTTGGAAAAAAATAAAGAACACATCCAAAGAAATGGGCAAATCTGAAAAGAGTTTTAAAAAATCTGTTTGTAAATTTTCTTTACAAAGGAAAATTCAAGAGCAAAACCAAGGAAAACTTTATAAAATCACGTATTGTAATAAAAACACCCTAAATCAAATCATTTATTTGCAAAAACTCCATTCAATTAAGAATCAGCTACATCAGGGATTGCAATTTTTTTTTTACAAAGCAAATGCCTTGATTTTCAGAGCTCTTGGCAGTTCAACTCCTGAGCACAATCGCCGCTAAAAAAACACCTTGCAATTTCTTAGGCAGGGGATCAAGGATTACAAGGCTCATAGGGGATTTCCTTAACCCTCCAAGGTCATCAGGCCCTTTCAGGGTAACACAAATTCGCTTTGACTGGACTTTCCTTTGCTGATACAGCCCACCTTACATATTGTGTGTTTGTGGGGGGGGGGGAAGAAGTGAGTTCCCAGCAAGCTTTGCGCCCTTTGGCAGCCATTTTTCGGGCGTTCCCGATGCCTTAGAACGCGCAATCAAGAAATTCGAATCCCAGCATGCCTTGCGCTGGCCTAATGGCCCGCCACTAAGCCGGGGTGGCGTGACCATGATCACAGGAAAGGGCGTGGCTCTCTGAGCGTGCGGTAGGGTGCCCGGTTGATCCTTTGCACGTGCGCGTTGTGGAGAAGAAATTGAGCAACTAGTAACGGTCAGTGCACGCGCACGCTGCCGGGTGGGAGGCGGGGAATGAAAGAGAGGTTAGAGTGTGTACCGGACGGTAGGATGTGCGCATGCTCTATTCCATTGCAAAATTTACCAAGAAGAAAAACAATTCTTACCGTCCTTAAGATTATTTCTCACTCTGTTCTCACAATAGTTGCAGCACAGCCAGACGGGAAAATTAGAAACGCCACAATATCACGTGAAGAGAAGTGATGCTTAATGTCAGGGATTGTGGGAAATGTAGTTCCCCAATAACCAGTGCTGTGTAGGCTGAAACGAGGAATCCCGTCATATTTTGGGTTTTACATTCGGGTCTCTCTATCTCCGTTTAACCATGGAGATGCTGAATTGATGACTCGCGCCCCCTACCGTCTGCTTTTTCCGTTTCGAAAATGATTGGACTCAACCAGTGATTTATCGGATTCGCTGGGGTACAAGGGAGTTGTAGTTCAGAATAGGTGAAAATTGATTGATTAAATAGATTAAAATGCAAAGCACATTTCCCGCCACTTGAGCTCTAAATTTGGGCTAGGAAGGAAATTTGGAAAGGAGCAACTAAATTAGCAATTTAGTATATACTGTGCTTTAAGCCGGCAAACCATGACAACTTTAAGATATGTGGACTTCAACTCCCAGAATTCCCTAGCCACCATGCTAGCAAGAGACTTCTGGGAGTTGAAATCCACACAACATAAAATTGTCAAGATTGAGAAATACTATGTTAAGCAGTTCAGTGTGGTTTCTATTTTATCCAGTTATGTCTGTTTTTAATTATTTTAATTAGAATTTTTTGGAGAATTAAATATAAATATATCCAATTTTTTTGGGATCAAATCAAATGTATGGTGACAAAATATATTCCTTGCAACAAAATCAGAAGCAAATAGTAATTAAGCAGACAGGGCAACAAAGTAAATAACAATGAAATCAGGACAGAATGAAACTCAGTTGTTGCTTATTGATCACACCAACTTACGTTGAATCCAATTTGTTTCCAATGAAATTGAATATACTGTATTGGTCAGTGTGGGCATGCAGAATAGTGTAGTATTAAAGTGGAGACTGCTGCCAGTCTGTCTTTTGCAGTCATCCCAAGAGGATCTGCTGAAAATACAAGTAGTCCTTGAATTACAACCTTAATGGAGCCTGCCCATTACAGTTGTTTTGCTAAAAACTGAAAGTAACTGGTTTTCAGCGAAACATCATAAAATACAGTCAGGTGACTGTGGGACGCTGCAAAATGGCCATACATGAAGCCATGTTGCCGAGTGCCTAAAGCAGGGGTGTCAAACTCGTGATGTCATGTGATGTGTTGCGCTGTATCGGAACTTTTTTTCCCATTGTCAGCACTGGGGTGGGCGCGGTTTCATTGTGACATATCTGGCCCGCGGGCTGGCAGTTTGACACCCCTGGCCTAAAGCGCAGTCATGATTGCAGGGAGATGACAGTCAGAACTTCAGATCTGGGTCGTAAGTTCTCTTTTTTGGGTTGGGTTGTAACTTCAAATATTGCTAAAGTCGTAAGTTGAGGACTACAGCTACAAGGGTGCTAGGGAAGGCTTCTGCTTTTCTACTTTATCTCCATGTCAGGAAATTGTGAATTTATTACAGATTTCCTTTGGAGTTAGTTTTTTTAGCTTACTTCATTGTGGGTATACTGAAATTAAAGTTGATTTTTGTGATTGTTGCATCTCTTTCCATTCCCCCAAAAACTTCCCAGTCTGTAGAAGCCCATTGACGTCTTTCTTTGGGATTTATTTATTTAGAGTATGGCATATCATATATGGACTAGCAATATAAATTAACATTTCAACTAGATTAGTAGAACCCAATAAAATATAAGTGTGAAAAAGAACCATGTTCAAATATGTCTAGGCCATCTAACCATTGAAGCGCAGCATTGTTTATATTAAAAAAATCAGATACTGGTCTGGTATATGCCCTCAGCTAGCTGGTGATGATTTCTTTGGGATATCATTGAGGCACAGGGAGCATCCTAGGTGTAGAAGGTTGGAAATGTGATTGCATGGTGAAAGGCAGTTCATACACACACATGCATGAGTGTGCGTTGGACAACTTGTACAAGTGCAAGAACACCATCCCTTGTATTCATGAGTATTTGCTGAAATTATCCTTTGAAATAAATATGGGAAGTGAATTTTGTCATCACAATGAAGGGCATTTTTTTTAACAGTTCTGTGTGCTAGTCTCAAAAGAATCAGAGTTAGACCTCCTGTTGTGGGTAAGACTATTTCTGTACCAAGAGAAGCTAGTTGCTACTTAAGAAATCCACAAAGAACATCTCTGGATGCAGCCTAAATGCATCTCTGCTTTATCAACACAGGTTTTTTTTAATTTGCCTTCTCTTTTGCTAGATGGACATTCAACGATCTCTTGAGCTCTTGCACATGACCATATACACTCAGAGCATCTCACCTTGTGGCAAATATTTAGCAGCCGGAAACAACTATGGAGAAATTGCCATATTCAGGTATTTGGGCGTGGCTTATCACTGGATATGCTTTTCTTTTATTGTTTTTTAAAAAGCAACCATCCTTGGGTTAACCTTCACTGTTTTTTTTCTTGGATAGCCTGTCAGCAGCATTAAGTTCAGAAGCCAAAGAGGACAGCAAGAAGCCGGTAGTGTCCTTTGCAGGTTGGTGATGGTGGTTTGGCTAGCAGAGAAAAGCTAGAGGTGCCTTAGCTTTGCCTATAGCAAAGTTTCTGAATCTTGGCAATTTTAAGATGTGTGGACTTCAACAGAAACATTAGTGTATAATAACCTGGCTTGTTCTTCTATGCTCAAGTTAGGGCTGTGTGTAGTCAGCAGACAGCATGGTTGGGCCATCTGTCTCTAATCCAGAAGGAGTTCTTCATTTGGCATCAATGTGGTTGAGTTTCTTTGGTTCAGCTGAGGATTCCCCAGAAGATATCACTCTCCTGAGGCAACTTCCCTGTTAAAATATCCTTCTTCTTTCCATAGCCCACAGTGGAGCTATCTATGCCATGCTGTCCACCGATCGGCAGTTGTTAAGTGCTGGCAATGGAGAGGTCAAAGCCTGGAACTGGAGCGAGATTGTGAAAAAAGTATGAGTTGGGTTGCTGTCCTCCCCCTTCCCTCCTAGCCTGGCTGTAGTTTTCTGATTTGTTATTCTTAAAATGCCTTTCCTTGCCTTCTGTTATAGAGTTGCAAAGAGGCTTGGAGTAGGAGGCCACCTTATGGGTAAAGCCTAGTTTCCTTTTTTTTTGTTATTATTTTTTACCTGCCCATGAAAATGTTGAATTTGAAGGTTTGCCTGTCCTTTCCTCTTTAGAAGCAGACTTGAAGTGCCAGAAATCAACAGCCTTCAATTGAACCTGAAGGTATGGCCATTGGGCTGTCTTGGGATGGGTCAATACAGCTCAGGAGGCTTCATCATGCCACATTCTTTCTTTTCTCCCCCCACCTTTTCCAGGATAATACTCTTCTGATGGCTGGAGGTGACTGTGTCATTCACATGATGGACTTGGAGACTGGAACCTTTACTGTGAGTCCTCCCTGTGTGGAGAAATAAACCAAAAAGATTTTATGGACCTTTCAGCCTTTCTAATTTACTCAAATAGCCTTTTCTCATTTGGTATTCTCAAATTGTTCTTAAGATCTGGATAAATGTTGATAGTTTAACCAGCAGATCATGTCAAGAACAAAAGATCAGGTCCACATATGAAGCTCCAATTAAACTGATTTATTCCTAATCTTTCTGTGCAGAGGAATCTTTTCAACTCACCTTCTTGGAGTTAGATAAATGGAATGGAATTCAAGGGAAATTAGTTCACGTGGCTACATAGGGGTTCTAGGTTGAACCCTCTTTTGACTCTGCCCAGGTTCTGCCACTCCTTCTCCTACAGAATTGGTACTTTTTATCCAGATTGAGGGAGGGAGATGATAGATAGATAGATAGATAGATAGATAGATAGATAGATAGATAGATAGATAGATAGATAAATAGATAGATAGATAGATAGACAGACAGACAGACAGACAGACAGACAGACAGAGCATTAAAAACACACTCTAAATAAATGTTGATTACCAATCTTAATGCATCTATTTTGAGTACTCAGCCTTGTGCATTTGCCCATGTTTTTACTTTCTAAACTTCCAGTGTGATTTTTCTCAACCAGGGAGCTTTTCATCATATCACTTTCAGTGCTGTTGCTGAGAATCCAGAAGTTGAATTCAATAGATCTGAAAGTGTTTTCAACTTTCTTCTGTAAAGTCTGGTGAAACATGGTTATGTGTTTTATGAAAAGTAACCAGTTCCCTCATCAACACACATAATCGGTGCTGTCTGTACTATCGCAGGTCTGAAACCTGCCTTGAGCAGGTCTAGATAATCCTTCCATGGTCCTCTGAAGATGTAGTCTGATCACTTCTCAACAACCTTGTTCAGGAAGGGAAGGTTGAAGACTACACAAAAACTATTCAAAAACATTGGGTCCAGCAATGACTTCTTGAAGAGAAAGGGTATTACTGCCTCTCATATTCACCACAGCATGGATTTAATGAACAGATAGCTTAACTCCCTTAAATATCCTGTTTATTCTTCAGCCTAATGACTTTCCACAGGAGAATTGCAGCTCTCAGAATTCATTGGGAGAGATGTTCAGGGGATTTTGGGAATAGTGTGTATCCATATAGATCAGAGGCATATTCTCTTTTGTTAGGAGTGAATAGCAACTCTGAGTGTGAGCCCCTCTGGTATCCTCTGTCTCTTTTACTGTTAACCAAAGTTAGAGAGTTGATTTGCATGGGCCATTGGAACATCAATATAAGTAATCCCAAAGGTGCTTTTTCAAGAGGCAACTGGACTTTCTTGTTTTTCTTTGAAGACGTTTTGCTTCTCATCCAAGAAGTTTCAGTTCTGATTGGAGGTGGGGAATGGAAGTCAGAGCTGAAGAAGTTCTTGGACGGGAAGCAAAAAATCTTCAAATAAAAACAAGAAAGTCCAGTTGTCTCTTGAAAAAGCACCTTTTGGGACAACCATGACCTGAATGACTGAGAATCTCCATAGACACCTATATAGGTAGACTTGAACTCACTTTGCCTTCTCTGTCCCTTCCTCCCCATCTCAGCGTGAATTTCAGGGCCACACTGATTATATCCACTGTTTGGCCCTTCGGGAGCAGCTCCGAGAATGTCTATCAGGAAGTGAAGATGGCACCGTACGTCTTTGGGGTAGGTGTCTCCTATGTCAGACTCTGACTCTCTCTTCCTTTCATATGTGTCCCCATGTCTTTATAAAAGATCTAATGGTCTTTTAGACCAGGGGCTCAGGAATTCTGGGAGTTAAAGTCTACAGGTCATAAGGTTGCCATAGTTGCCTAACTCTGCTTTGGACAAATGCAGTGTTCTCTGGATATGTGAACTTCAGTTCCCAGAATTCTCAGCAGAGGCCATACCAGCTAGGGAATTCTGGGAGTACCTCCACAAATCTGACAGGCTGTACTACAGGAGCATAATATATGTGCCTTACATTAAATTCATTAACAGTCCACTTACCTCTAGAAGCATGGTGACTCAGTGGCTTAAAAGATGCCGGAGAAGATCTGTGCTCTGAAAGTTTGAGTTCTACCACAGTGTGACGGAGTGAGCTCTTGTTACTTGCTCCAGTTCCTACCAACCTAACAAGCAAATGGACATAGCTAAATAAGTACCACTTTGGTGGGAAGGTAACAATGTTCCGTGTTTTGCTGCATGCTCTGCGTTATGGTGTGATGTCATGCTGGCCGCATGATTGCGGAAACGTCTTCGGACAGCGTTGGCTCAGTGGCCTAGAAATAGAGATGGGCACTGTCTCCTAAAGTTGGCTCTGACTAGTTGAGTAAAACCTACAGGGACTCCTTTTCCGACTTATTTCATGTTGCATGATTAGTAGCAGACCTCTGGGATTTCTGACTGAACATGTCGGATTGATCTGAGACTTCTGCTTACAAAGTTTGTGCTTTATCACTCAGCTGCATTCCTTCCCTTCACCTTGTGGGAAGTCAGCCCCCCAGAAAGAAAAGTCTTCATCGTGGTTCAGTCCAAGCTGGGTTTAAACATGGCAACTGCTTTAGAAAGAAGGTTGCAGTTTATTGAAGAGGAGAGCCAGACAGAAATATGGCTTTGGCAGAAAAGAGAGTGAGCACATATAGGGAGTGGGTTTTTATACCCTCTTGAGCCTTTTGTTTGGAGTTGTTTCCTGTTCCTGTTTGAGGCTATTTCCTGTGTCATGTATTTTGACCTGTGTCCCTTTGGTATCTGTGAGTTAATCCTATTATGTCCTGTCTTAGATTTTGGATTGGGGTATGTGGATTTTAGGTGTCTTTGCATCTGGGTCCTGTCAGGGCAGAACTTCATCTATGTTGGCCCTACTGTTGTGGAACAGGCTCTTTATGCAAAGCTACCAGAGCAGAATGCAGTTTGAGCAGAATGCAGAATGATAAGGCTTCTTTGGGTGATTGTAAATACAGATGTTTCTGAACTACAGCTCCCAGGAATCCTTCACTGTAAGTTGTATTGGCTTGATCCAGCTTAAGCAGAGTTTGAAGAGCTGTATGTTTCTAGTCTATTTGGTGTTGTTTTTGTTTCTGCCCCTAATTTGCTGCCTTCCAGATGCAAGGGGAATGAATGCTGGGCAGCTCAACACATCTGAAGGATGTTGTTGTGATTTTAAATCAAAAGAAAATGCTGTTTTAAGGCCATCTTTTATTTTTTTCTTTTAATCTGGTTTTCAGATTTACGTACAGGAGGTCAAGTCCAATCAATTGAAGTCCACAAATATGAGGTATTTTCATCTTAACCTGAATTTTGAATTGTAAGCCTTGCAGAGTCATTGATTGGGACGGGTGGCTATAGACATTGAATGAATGAATGAGTGAATCTTCTTTCTCCAAAACTCAGAATGCATAATAATTCTGTACTCCTTATCCTTTTTTCTAGATTTGACCATAGATATTTTTTTTAAAATTAGGAATTTAAGTCTTATTGATTTCAGTGAGCCTGTTGGAGGGGGATTAATCCAAAGATCAGTTTTTAATACTGTGAGTCTAACTACTCCTTAACTCAGCAGTTTTCCTCTAAAAACTCTCCTTAATTTTTTTAGGAATGCAGCCGCCCGCAGAATGGGAAGTGGATCAGTTGTTTGGCGACTGACTCTGACTGGATGGTGAGTCTCTCAGCAACTTGCATTTCTGGAGATGCAGCAGGCAAGGGTGTTCCAATTGTTTGCATCATTAATGGGGCTTTCATGATTCCTGGGTTAGCTCTCTTCATACCATGAGCTCATCTGCATACTATTCAAAACAGACAACCAAAAAGCTCAAAAGGAAACAAAAAGACCAGAAATACCTCCTTGCCAGCAATCAACACCCAGATAAGGAGAGAATAATACCAAGATTAATACTAGGTAGGCTAACAAGCAGTAAACATTACCCCAATCAAGGAACTGCCAAACAAACAGCCTAATCAAGGAACCCACTGAGAATACTCCCAACAATACTGACAGGGCAAGCCACTGATTTATTTATTTTCAGTATTAAATTTCTACATAGCCCATCTCCCCTACAAGGTGACTCTTAAATAAATAGAGAGGAAACACCACTCCCTTTCTAGCACTGATGATGTTACCTAGCTGGGTAATGAAACATCTGCCAAAAACAACCACATTCAGAGAACACCAAGGACCCCATAGCTCTTCCTTTTGGAGCCCCCGATCTCCAGTTTATTCTGAAGCGGGTGATTGATTTATAGATTGAGAGTTCAAGCTTATAGAGCACCGGGTTGGGGAACGAATAATCTGAAACATACTTTTTTTAATGACACAGGTGTGTGGCGGGGGCCCAGCGCTCACTCTTTGGCACCTACGTTCAGTGACACCCACCACTGTATTTCCCTTGCCTCAATGCCAGCAACAAGCCATGTTCTACCAAGATCTGGTAAGTCTTACATCCTTGAATTTTAGGTCCTGCACAATTGCCCCACGATATATTTTGACATCCTTGCTTTTTCTTAATGTTGGTTGTTGCTTTGCTGCCTTTGCCTCTTTACTTAACTATTATTATTCTCATTCTTCCGTCCCGTTAAGCAGTCTTCCTTTCCTCATCTTTCACAGATTCTCTCTGCTGGCCACAGCCCGACCATTAATCACTTACAGATCAGCGGAGAAGTGAAGGCCCAAATCCCTTGCATCCCACGTTGCGTTCATTCCATTTCCATCAACGAACACTCTGCAGAGCATAAGGTACCTCCAAGTTTGGGAGCAGAATGAGGGATAGTAGATGTTGCGGCTATAAAATTGGACGAACGGGGTGGAGCTCAAATTGGCTAGTCAGAGCCTAAAATCCCAACGAGCTCCCCTCCCCCATAGCTTAGGCCCCTTTTGTATAAGGGACCTAACCTATGTGGGAGAGGAGAAGGTGGTTGCGGGGTTTTTTTTCCCCGTTTTGGGAAGGAGACAGATACTTGTGTCTTTGATTTTGAAGAAACTCAGATCTTGCTAACAACATAGATTCATTAACCATAGTGTTTGTATCTAACATCCTGTCCCATAAAGGGAGACTCCAATTCAGCTAATAAATACAGTGACGAAACCAAAAACAGCAGTTGAACCAACGTGAAATGAGAAATTTTAGCTATCGCTTAATAGCAATAGCACATAGACTTATATACCGCTTCACAGGGCTTTATAGCCCTTTCTAAGCGATTTACAGAGTCAGCATATGGCCCTCAAGAGTCTGGGTCCTCAGAAGGATGGATGGCTAAGTCAACCTTGAGCCTGTCAGAATCCAGTTGCTGGCAATTGGCAAAATTAGCCTCCAATATTGCTTTTTAACTACTGCACCACTATGGCTCTCTTAAGAGTCTGTTGTATCCTGGGGCAGAAGATTGCACAGTATAGTTGAGAAGAAAATGTTCTGAGGTCCAATAGCTGCTAGGACTCTTCTGGAAATGGTGCCAGTGCCAGTCAGTTATATTTGGAAACAGCAGTGCACAAACCAGGAAGCTGGAGTTGTGGCTAGCTAGTCTGGTTCAGGCACCTCATGTAAACTCATCCCTAAAATCTTTTTCTCTCCCTTCAGGTATTGACAGCAGCTGGAAGCAGCCACTGCATTGACGTCTTCACCAACTTTGGATACCGAGCCTTTTCTCTAACTTTTACCTAAGATGTACATAGTGTCCTTTTGTGAATAATCTTAGTTTTGTGAATTTCAAATCTGATATGGTCTAGGGCAGGGATAGGCAACCTTGGCTCTTTTATGACTTGTGGACTTCAACTCCCAGAATTCCTGAGCCAACTCATAAAAGAGCCAAAACTGCCTACCCCTGGTCTAGGGAACATCTTCATTCTAGGGGCATCTCTGATTGCTGAGGAGCCTGCAAAGTTTGCCTGCAAAGGGAGTCACTCCACCCACAAGTTTGTGAGAGAAACTCCAAAAAGAGGCACCTGAAACAAGATTACTTAACATAAAAATGAATGAAAGGAACTGAAACTTGCCTGTGTTTTCAGAAAGCGGACGTCCTAATTCTACTATTGAACTGCGTGTTTCATCCTAGGACTGGACTGTTGAATCTATTCCCGAAGACATGGAAACTATCCTTCCCCCTTGTTTTTCTCCACTTAAAAATCAACATATTTTCATTTATACTTTCCTTTTTAATTTTCATAGATATTTCAACAAGGATTCTTGTTTGTTGGTCTGTTGGGTTTTTGAAGGTGGGAATAGCAATGGGAACTTTTGCAAGTTTAACTGCTTCAATTTATATATTTAAAAATATTGCACTGATCTCCCCCAAACAGCTGGAATGAGCTGCTAGAGTTTGGCAGCAGAGTATAGGTATTAGAAGGTCTTCAGATGGCTTCACACCCAGTTTCCACCCTTTTTTTTTATCTCCCCCCCCATACAGCTCCTTCCTCCTATTTTCCCTACAACAGCTTTGTGAGGTAGATTGAACTGAGAGAGAGTGACTGGCCCAAAGTCATCCAGCCAGCCTTCATGTCTAAGGTGAGACTAGGACTCACAGTCTCCTAACGGTTGGCTCAAAGTCATATGTCCAGCTTTCATGAGTAAGGTAGGACTAGAAATTACCGTCTCCTAATTTTTAGCCTGATGCATTAACCACTAGACCAAATTGACTCTTATTGGAGGGTGTGTTTGGAAATTCCACAATTATTTTTTTAAATTGGCCCTTTTGCCACTGTATGTTTGGTTACCAGTTGGATACTGTGGGGAGGGCATATCAACCTTACTCTGCTCTTGCTACCGTATCTTACCATTCTGGCTCTCATCCAGAACCAGCTAAGGATGATGGGAACAGAATAGCCAAGCTATTCAGGAACTAGCACCCTTGGATTTGAAGCCCTTGAATCTTCTGCCAAAATTTGCCTAGACAGTTTCAGCCTCTTTCTTCTGTGATCTGAAGGTTGGAATAACTTCACAGTACGAAACAATTCCTTGAGATGGAGGAAAACTTATTTATTTATCATTATTTCATACTATTAGAGCTGTCCGACTCCAGTGGACTCTGAGCAGCATACAATCCCCTCGCCTCCCAAAAACCCATAAGAAGAGATTAAATGCTAAAATCACATTCACAACTTGGATTAAAATAATCTAGAAATGACATAAACTGAATCACATATTCCCTCCAAACTCCCAAAATAATTATCCACAGACCTGGGAACAAAGCCAGATTTCATGGCAGTATAAAGCAGTTTGTTCCCAAAGGGATCTCACAGGGATTTTTCTTCAGTGGTTTCCACTTCCTCGTACATACGTTCATCTTCCATTCTCTTCAGCTCTCTCAGTTCTTCCCGATGTATTTCTTTAAACTCTCGAAGAGCTGTGGCTTTCTCCTCATAGTCTTGGTTGACCGAGCAATCTGCTGATTTGTGGCCTGGAACGAGATAGGCCGTGGCGTCCGCCAGCATGGCTGAAACCTCATGGGTGAGGACCTCCAAGGACAAAAGCTGGTGGATGTGGTTGCTGGTTTTGTACTGTTTGTTGAAGAGATTGAGAGGCTGTAGGAAGTAATGAGGGAGGTGTTTCTTGGCCAGGGTGTGTTGCAGCAGCCCCAGGAGGGTCTTTAGAGAGGACAGCAGAGTCTCCCAGTCCTCTTTGCCATGATAGATCTCACAGCACCACAGTAAAACGGTCTGCAAGATATGAAAAAGCAACAGAGCAATTCTTAGATCTTATGCTGACTTTGGAGGCCTCATGACTTCCTGGGTTTGAGTCAATCTTCATGCTCCTAGGTTTATATCAAGAAGTGGGAGGAGGAGAGGAATTTAGGCAGTGTGATGGTTTTATTGCAGAGGGAGGTGAGAGGGAGCTGAGAGATTATGAAAGTAGAAGTCAGCAATTGGTGCTATCTGGATTAAATCAAGCAAAGCTCTGGATAACACACACCACAGCAGCAGAGAAGGAAAGGAGATTGCAGAAGAGAGGTGTTTTTATTGCTACACAATTTTACATGATCTCATGCAGGGTAGAAGTGAGCTTGTTGTACATTTATACATGTGCGAGTAGTCTTTGTTTAGTGACTGAAGTTACAACATTGAAAAAGGCATTGACTTGTGACCAGTCCTCACACTTAACAACCATCACAGCTTCCCCACAGTTAGATGATCAAAATTTGGGTGCTTGAAAACCAGCTGCATTTATGATAGTTGCAGCACCCTGAGGTCACCTGTTTGCCATTTGCAACCTTCCCAGCCAGCTTACAACAAGCTAAATCAGTGGGGGAAGCCAGATTCACTTAACCATCGCATGCTTCACTTAACAACTGCAGTGATTCGCTTAAAAACTGGCAAATAAAGATCATGAAATCAGGCTTGACTGACTTAACAAATGCCTTGCTTATCAATGGAAATTCTAGTCCCAATTCTGGTCATAGGCCAAGGACCACCTGCATAAGGGGGAATTTCAATGTATCTTCATGAGGGCTAGGTGGAAGCTTAATCTGGCCTAGCGTACAGTTAGTTCCAACAGATTCACCTTAAGATGGTAGGAAGTCAAGAGTTTGCCATACTCCGGGGTCCACCTAGTCTTGTTAACAAACTTAAGCAGTCGTAAAGCTGCCCGTCTCTGCCCTCCATCGGCGTCAACTTCCTTAAGGACCATCTCTTCAGCACAGCTGAAAGATAACCTAGTTCCAAGGGAAAATGGTGGTTAGGAATATTGTAACCATTCTGCAAATAGGAGCTTTAGAAGTATGTATTCATCTCCGGCATCCTCCCTGTATGTTGTATGTTTGCAGCTTGCCTTCTTTCTTAACTTGGGCAGAAAAAATGAAATGATGGAGCCTAGACTAGTCCATAATCTGGGAAAAGATGCAGCTGCTTTAAAGAGTTCCAAAGAGGTGCTAGATTGGCATCTCTATACATTAGGAAGCATCTTTTTTTGATGAATTTTTCGAAGTAGATTGGTCACCTGGATATGATGGGCATAGTTAGCAACCAGTTTAGTGTTTCTCAACCTTGGCCACTTTAAGATGGGTGGACTTAAGACACGCTGGCTGGGGAATTCTAGGAGTTGAAGTCCACTCATCTTAAAGTGGCCAAAGTTGAGAAACACTCAAGTGCAGAGCAACAGAAGCATACAACTTCTCAAAAGAGGCTTTCTTTCCAGTGAATCAATGAGCATGTCATTCTTTCATTAAGGAAGGTAATATCAGCATAGCCCTCCTTAGATGAGGGTTCAAGAATTCCATTAAAAGCAGAGTTTGGCAAACACTTAAAACATTTTTTTTTTTAAACCCAGATAACCATTCTGAGGCTCTAGTGAAAAATCCTGGCCCTGTTCCAATCAGGTGTTTTATTTTGCATCAATATCCAGCATCCATGCAGGGCTTAAAGCCATGTCCTGTTGCACTGCCTCAGCCTTGGCCACCCCCTGCTCCCTCACCAAATGACTAGGGGGGGGGGGTTACCTCCAGAATCCTTCCTTTGGGACGAGCTCAGGCCCCACTTCTTTAAGGGCTTGTACCTTCTGGAGGAAGCTTTTCTTTTCATTGCTGAGATCACCGTCCCACCAGTCAGAAAGGTGGGTGAGATCTTCCCTCATCCATTCGTTGGAGAACTCTATTGCCCCCCGAATGGTCGGCACCAGCTTCACTGGGACAGTTTCGTTCCCTTCGTTGAAAACTAACCGGACGGCTGGACCACTCAAATCCAAGGGCTCTAATTTGATGTTCCCTAAAAATGTGTCGGAGGAAAGCAACATCCAGGGTATTATTACCCAAAGCGATACACAACCCTGAGTTGTAACTACAGATAGTGTTCGACTTACGACCGCAATTGGGATCAGAATGTCCGTTTCTAAGCGAGACAGTTAAGTGAGTCTTGCCCAATTTTATATTATTATTATTATTATTATTATTTTGCCAAGGCAGTTAAGCAGTCATAAAATGAATCTGGCTTCTCCCCATTGATTTTGCTGGTTGGAAGCCAGCTGGGAAGGCTGCACATGGAGATCGTGTGACCCCTAGGATGCTGCAACCCTCATCAATTCATGACAGTTGTCAAGTCGCCTGAATTTTGATTACGCCATGGGGAGGGTGCAACGGTCATAAACGTGAAAGCTGGTCATAAGGCACTTTGGTTCTGTGCTGTTGTAATTTCAAACAGTCACTAAACAAATTGTTGTAAGTCGAGAATTACCTGTACTGCATTGCACAGTGGGAAAAATAAACTAGTAAAAACAATGGCAGATATAAAGTCTAACTCAGTGGTTCTCAACCTTTTTAATGCCGCGACTCCCAACTGGTCGTAAGTCGACGACTACTCAACCGGTCGTAAGTCAAGGACTACTCAACTGGTGCAGCACCGTTTGCAGAATGGGACTTTTGGCGGGCTCAGCAGGGCAGAGACGGCCTGGACAATTCCTATTGGCTTTTGAATAGGAAGTGCACACACACACGTCACTCATATTTTGAAGTAAGGCAGGTGAAATATTAGGGCAGACATGTCAAACACAAGTCATCTTGGTTGTTAATACTCTCTCTGAGAGTCATTAAGGCCACTTGGAGGGCACAGTAGCCTCAACGATTCCCAGAAAGAGTGCTAATGACCAGGGGACTGCAAGGAATATAAATCCTTCCATTCCCTATCATTCAGTCAGAACTGAAGAAGCTTCTTGGATGAGAAGTGAAACATTTTCAAGGAAAAACAAAAGGAAGTCCAATTGCCTATTGAAAAAGCACCTTTGGGGCATTCCTGAGAAGCTAATTTCTCGCTATGCAGTTTTCTAAGATAATTTTTAAATTTGTTAATCTATGGTCAGTTAATTTTTATAGCCCGGCAACTCAAAGGACAACAAAGATGTAGCTGGGCAATAAAAAAAAATCAACTTACCTCTTATACTATTATGTATACTGGGTACTCGGGAAGGGAACAGCCGACGCTGGAAAACAGGATCTAAAGGTTGAAGAGGAATCCAGTATAAATTTAAGAAATGCAGTCTGGTTTTAAGGTTTTATAATATGTAATCACTGCATTTGTTTTTAAAACCCAGTAAACCAGCAAGAGGACCACTGGAGCCCAGTCCAATCCCTCAACATGTTCTCCCACTAGAAAAACATTTACATTTTATGCTTTCTGGACTTACCGTTTTGTCGAGGATGAGTGTACTCTGGGGAGATGGGAAAGAAAAATAGGAAAAAGTCAAGGAGAATCTGTTGTAATTTCGAGAACAATCCCATTTAAGAACCGGGGAACAGACCAACGTTCATCCCAGCAGACACAACTTTCTATGGTATCTTGATATACAGATAATCCTCAACTTGCAACCATTCATTTAACAATTATTTGAAGTTGCAACAGCATTGAAAAAAGTGACATACAATCAGCTTTTAGACTTAGAACCGTTGCAGTATCTCCACAGTCACATGATCAAAATGTAGGCACTTGGCAACCAGCATGTATCTAGGGCATGTATCTAGGGCAGGTGCCAATCTGTGACTTTCCCAGCAGCTTCCAACAAGCAAAGGCAATCAGGAATGCCATATTCGCTTAATGACATGATTCACTTAACAACTTCAGTAATTTGCTTAATAACTGTGGCAAAAAAAGGTTGTAAAATTGGACACAATTCACTTAACATTCAATTTGATTTGCAACGGAAATCTGCTCCAGTTGTGATCGTAACCTTGAGGACTAACTGTAGTGAGAAGCCTATAAATTTCTATCTCATGATTTTTGGGAACTGAGCAGTGCAGCATAACAACAGCAGCTATTATGTTGATGTCTTTGGAAAAGATGCGACTTTTCACACAATAAAAGTTTCTAAAAACTGGCTAGGAGTCCCCAAATTTTACTCACAAACAACATTTTTGTGATGTCTAGCCCAATGAAGAGCCTGCATGCTTTCCTCTATTTGAATTGGCCTTAATTAAAATATAAAGCAAGTAGGTCACATCTGACTTTACTTTTCTACAATTATTTCATTCAAAAGGCAAATAGGATGCTTGGTACATGGCAAAATGCTAGTTTCTACCAGCATCTTTATTCACAAAAATGTATCTGGATGACTGATCTTTGAACACTGAAATGGTTAATAGTGTAGGGTTAATTTTCAAGTCTGCCCATCTCAAAAAGAAAGACGAAGGACTGTCTTTTCCCAGTTACATTTATCCAACCTGCCAGAGCAGGGAAATAGGTGATTTTATGGATCCTCTCTCTTAAGGATTTCCATCTGGGAGAACCAAGAAGAAGGGCCTTCTCTGTGGTGGCTCCCTCTCTGTGCAATATCATCCCTGCAGAAATAAGATTGGCCCATCTTGACACTCTTTTGAAAGGCCCTGAAGACAGTTTTGCCAGTGGACCTGGGAACTCCAGGTTGATATGGAGCCCCATCAAGAGTTGCTTGTTGTCACAAGGGGGGCGGGATGGAGGGTTATTGGGTTCTGCATTGAGATTTTATTTCTGAAAGCCACCCATGAGTTGGGCAGCCTTTTTAATGTTCCCCAACTTTTCCGGCTTTGTGGACTGGCAGGGGGAGAGATGGAGTGTTCCCGCACATCCTTGTCTGCTGCTTGCACAAATGAGGATGCACACGTGTGTGCATGCACGACCACTGCTTTCACACCCCAGTTCCCAACATCTCACAGCTGACTAGTGAGCCATGGCCCAGGGATTGGGGACTCTTGCTCCCCCTTATCAGGTTCCTTCTGCTAATTGAATCCTTCCTAAACAGCCACAACCCATCAAGAAAATTAATTTTGTGAATCTGCAAGGTCCAGCCCATATTTTTTTTTAGCATTCAGAACATTCTCTCTCTTATTCTAACGATGTCTGGTCGACACAGTTGTTCACCCCTGTTCTGGATTCCCACTGCATTAGCTAATTTTTCTGAAATGGTGCACCTGGATTCAAGGCAATCCCTACATATTGATGAAAGTCCTTCAGGATTTGCTCTGGGTCCAAATTATGATAGCCGAGACTCTCCTAGAAAAGAAAGAAAAAAACAAAGAGCTTTTTTTTTTTCACCCCCCAGAAAAAGACCTTTTCCCAGCAAACATGCCCCAGATTTCAGCACTAGGGTGCACCACCTTCCCTCCTGGCCAGGGGTAGGCAACCTTGGCTCTTTTATGATTCGTGGACTTCAACTCCCAGAATTCCTGAGCCAGCCATGCTGAGGGGAAAGGGAGAGGTTTCCATGCTGAGCCATGCTGGCTGAGGAATTCTGGGAGTTGAAGTCCACGAGTCATAAAAGAGCTAAGGTTGCCTACCCCTGCTCCTGGTCATCCTGTTAATACCTACCTGGCACATTTCTAATTTATAATATTCAGGGTCATCATCTTCTTCCTCATCTTCCCCCAACTGTGATTTTGGCTTATCACAATAGATCTTCACATCTGTCTCCGCCACATCCTCTATGTCTACCAACAGTTTGGTGCCCTGGCAAAAGACCGGCAGCCCTTTGTCAGGAAAGTTGCAGATTCCTCTGTGGCGAAAAATGTAGGTAGGGAGCTGGTGGGTGGGACGGCTGGAGGAATTACTGGGGACGACTCTGCTCCGGAGCGCCAACTTGGAGTTATACCGCATTGGGATGAGGAAGTCAAAGTCGTTGGAAGTGTTCTCCACTTGAAGGTGCAGCCCTTCCTTGTAGCTGCCCACGGGAATGGGGTCAAAGGGGTACAACCCAGTGCTGGATTCATAAGCCCACTTCACAATCTTCTCCACTGTGCTTTTCACGACAAAGTAATTCTTCTCTACCAGCCATTCCTTGTTTCCTGAAAGGAAAACTGTTTCTGCGTGGAATTCCTGAAGGATTCTGTCTCGCTCATTGAGATCTGCGTTGCTCATTTTGAACCTTCCTCCTCGTCAATTATTCTTTCTTCCGTTCCTTCTCTAAAGCCCTCTGGGCTTCCTTTCGCTTTTCCTTTTGTTTTTCATTTCAGAGTTGCTTTCCGGTTGGTTGACAGGCTCTTTGTGACTTTTCTACTTGGCAGAAGGAAGAGGGAGAAAAAGTGGACCCCCCCCCCAGCAAGTGATAAGTAAAAGAGACGAGCATTAACCCTCAAGCTACAGGTTTTTGCAGCTTCTCTTTCAAGCAAGAGAGGGGGAAGTTTTAAGCTGCTTTTAACCTTCTTGTTATTGTGAGGGCATTTTCCAGAATTCTGAGCAATTATAACACTGAGATCTTAATAATGTACATTTCACATTATTGGAATTAAGTTCTAACACAATTTCCAGGAGGTGAAAAGATCAGAGCCGAGAAACAGCAATATCACTACAGCTAGTCCTTGACTTACAACCATAGTGAAGCCTGGCCACCATAGTCATAAATTGTGACAGTCATAAATCAGGGTCACCCCTGTGACTGACTCAATTTTACAGCCTTATTTGCAGCAGTTGCTAAGCAAGTGGTTTGTTATGGGCTGTTTTGCCAAAAACAGGAAATAAAGTTTTCAGCAAAACTGTCAAAAACATGGTCACATGACTGCAGGATACTGAAAGCAGCCATAAATGAGGGCCAGTTGCCAAATGATCCAACAACAACAATAATAATAGAGTTGGAAGGGACCTTGGAGGTCTTCTAGTCCAGCCCCCTGCTCAGGCAGGAAGCCCTATACCATTTCAGACAAATGGTTGTCCAGTCTCTTCTTAAAAACTTCCAATGTTGGAGCATTCACAACTTCTGGAGGCAGGTTGTTCCACTGATGAATTGTTCTAACTGTCAGAAAATTTATCCTTAGTTCTAGGTTGCTTCTCTCCTTGATTAGTTTCCATCCGTTGCTTCTTGTCCTGCCTTCAGGCGCTTTGGAAAATAGCTTGACTCCCTCTTCTTTGTGGCAGCCCCAGAGATATTGGAACTCTGCTATCATGTCCCCCCTCATCCTTCTCTTCATTAAACTAGACATACCCAATTCCAGCAACTATTCTTTATATGTTTTAGCTTCAAGTCCCCTGATCATCTTTGTTGCTCTTCTTTGTACTCTTCTCTGAACTGGTCATAAGGACCACCTATAGAAGGGAATATCTGTAGTTCAGAGTTGAATTGTGGAATCCTTGGTGCTCTCTGAGCTTGTGTGTTTTCTTGCAGACGTTTCATTACCCAACTAGGTAACATCATCGGTGCTAATGAGTGTACAAATAGGGAGCAAACCTCTCACTCACTAGCACTGATGTTACCTACTTGTGTAACGAAACATTTGCAAGAAAACAGCCAAGCACAGAGAATACCAAGGATGCCAGAGTAGCAAAATAATTCACATGTCAGAGAGTAATCCAGCTCTTTTTATGGCAGTGTTTCTCAACCTCGACAATTTTAAGGCATGTGGAGTTGAAGTCCACATGCCTTAAAATTGTCAAGGTTGAGAAACACTATTCTATGGTGTTAGCAGAGTGTTTCAAACAGGATTTCTACCAAAAAAAAACTAAAGTTCCAGAACTCATTCTGTCCCAGTCTTCTGCTTCCTGGAGAGACTACAAGTAGTCCTCAACTACGACCACAATTGAGCCCAAAATTTCTGTTGCTAAGTGAGACATTTGTTAAGTGAATTTTGCCCCATTTTACAACCTTTCTTGCCACAGTCGTTAAGAGAATCACTGCAGTTGTTAAATTAGGAACATGGTTGTTAAGTGAATCTGGCTTCCCCATTGATTTTGCTTGTCGGGAGGTTGAAAAAAGTGATTCCCATGACCCAGGGACACTGCAACCATCATAAGTCAGTTGCCAAGTGTCTGAATTTTGATCACGTGAACGTGGGGATGCTGCAAGGATCATGTGTGAAAAACATAAGTCACTTTTATCAGTGTTGTTGTAACTTCAAGCCTCACTAAATGAAGTGTTGTAAGCCGAGAACTATCTGCATTCCACCAACCCAGTATTCCCCTTTATGGATTACTGCCTTGTCGTGGCGAAGGGGCTTGTGTAACTCAATGAAGCTATAAGCTATGCCGTGCAGGGCCACCCAAGATGGACAGGTCATAGCAGAGAGTTCTGACAAAATGTGATCCACTGGAGAAGGAAATGGCAAACCACTCCAGTATCTTTGCCATGAAAACCCCATGGACAGTACTAAAAGGCAAAAAGATATGATGCTGGAAGATGAGCCCCTCAGGTCGGAAGGTGTCCAATATGCTACTGGGGAAGAGCAGAGGGCTAATACTAGTAGCGCCAGAAAGAATGAAGCGACTGGGCCAAAGCTGAAAGGACGCTCAGCTGTGGATATATCTGGTGGTGAAAGGAAAGTCCGATGCTGTAAAGATTTTTTCTCCATAGGAACCTGGAATGTAAGATCCATGAATCAAGGCAAGCTAGACGTAGTCAAAAAAGAGATGACAAGACTGAACATTGACATCTTAGGAATCAGCGAACTAAAATGGACAGGAATGGGTGAATTTAACTCAGATGACCATCAGGTATACTACTGTGGGCAAGAATCCCTCAGAAGAAATGGAGTAGCCTTCATAGTCAATAAAAGAATAGGAAAAGCAATACTGGGATACAATCCCCAAAATGACAGAATGATCTCAATTCGAATCCAAGGCAAACCATTCAATATCACAATAAGTCCAAATCTATGCCCCAACCACTGGTGCTGAAGAGAATGAAATTGACCGGTTCTATGAAGCCCTACAGCACCTTATGGAATTAACACCAAAAAATGATGTCCTTATCATCATGGGGGATTGGAATGCTAAAGTAGGAAGCCAAAAGATAACCGGAATAACAGGCAAGTTTGGCCTTGGAGTACAAAATGAAGCAGGGCACAGGCTAATAGAATTTTGTCAAGAGAATACGATGGTCATAACAAACACTCTTTTCCAACAACCCAAGAGACGGCTCTACACATGGACATCACCAGACGGTCAACATAGAAATCAGATTGACTATGTGCTCTGCAGCCAAAGATGGAGAAGCTCTATACAGTCAGTAAAAACAAGACCAGGAGCTGACTGTGGCTCAGATCATGAGCTTCTCGTTGCAAAATTTAGGCTTAAATTGAAAAAAGTAGGGAAAAGCACTAGGCCACTCAGGTATGAACTAAATCATATTCCTGATGAATATACAGTAGAGGTGACAAATAGATTTAAGGAACTAGATCTGATAGACAGAGTGCCTGAAGAACTATGGATGGAAGTTCGCAACATTGTACAAGAGGTAGCAACTAAAACCATCCCAAAGAAAAAGAAATGCAAGAAAGCAAAATGGCTGTCTGAGGAAGCTTTGCAAATAGCTGAGGAAAGAAGGGAAGCGAAAGGCAAAGGAGAAAGAGAAAGATACACCCAATTGAATGCAGAATTCCAGAGAATAGCTAGAAGAGATAAGAATGCCTTCTTAAATGAACAGTGCAAAGAAATAGAAGAAAACAACAGAATAGGGAGGACCAGAGATCTCTTCAAGAAAATTGGAGATATGAAGGGAACGTTTCATGCAAAGATGGGCATGATAAAGGACCAAAATGGCAGGGACCTAACAGAGGCAGAAGAGATTAAGAAGAGATGGCAAAACTACACAGAAGAACTATACAAGAATGAGCTTAACATCCCAGATAACCACAATGAGATGGTCACTGACCTCGAACCAGACATCCTAGAATGTGAAGTGAAATGGGCCTTAGAAAATCTGAGCAACAACAAAGCTAGTGGAGGTGACAGTATTCCAGCTGAGCTATTCGAAATCTTAAAAGACGATGCAGTAAAAGTGCTACACTCAATTTGCCAGCAAATTTGGAAAACTCAACAGTGGCCACAGGATTGGAAAAGGTCAGTTTACATTCCAATTCCAAAGAAAGGCAATGCCAAAGAATGTTCAAACTATCGCACCATTGCACTCATTTCACATGCTAGTAAAGTTATGCTTAAAATCCTACAAGCTAGACTCCAGCAGTATGTGGATCGAGAACTACCAGAAGTACAGGCAGGATTTCGAAGAGGCAGAGGAACTAGAGATCAAATTGCCAACATACGCTGGATCATGGAGAAAGCTAGTGAGTTCCAGAAAAACATCTACTTCTGCTTCATTGACTATGCAAAAGCCTTTGATTGTGTGGATCACAACAAATTGTGGCAAGTTCTTAAAGAGATGGGAATACCAGACCATTTATTTGTCTCTTGAGAAACCTATATGCGGGTCAAGAAGCAACAGTGAGAACTGGACACGGAACCACTGATTGGTTCAAAATTGGAAAAGGAGTCCGGCAAGGCTGTATACTGTCGCCCTGCCTATTTAACTTATATGCAGAGCACATCATGAGAAAGGCAGGGCTAGATGAAACAAAAGTTGGAAATGCAGAGGACACCACAATAATGGCAGAAAGTGAAAAGGAACTAAAGAACCTCTTGATGCGGGTGAAGAAGGAGAGTGCAAAAGTTGGCTTGAAACTCAACATTAAGAAAACCAAAATCATGGCATCCGGCCCTCTCAATTCCTGGCAAATAGATGGGGAAGAAATGGAGGTAGTGACAGATTTTATTTTTCTGGGCTCCAAGATCACCTCAGATGGGGACTGCAGCCAAGAAATTAAAAGACGTTTGCTCCTGGGGAGGAAAGCTATGGCAAATCTAGACAGCATACTAAAAAGCAGAGACATCACCCTGCCAACAAAAGTGCGTATAGTCCAGGCCATGGTTTTCCCAGTTGCAATGTATGGCTGTGAAAGTTGGACCATAAGAAAGGCTGAGCGCCAAAGAATTGAGGCCTTTGAACTATGGTGCTGGAGAAGACTCCTGCGAGTCCCTTGGACTGCAAGGCGTTCAAACCGGTCAGTCCTAGAAGAGATCAACCCTAACTGCTCTTTAGAAGGCCAGATCCTGAAGTTGAAACTCAAGTACTTTGGCCACCTAATGAGAAGGAAGGACTCACTGGAGAAGGGCCTAATGCTGGGAAAGTTTGAGGGCAATAGAAGAAGGGGACGACAGAGAATGAGATGGCTGGATGGAGTCACTGAAGCAGTAGGTGTGAACCTACCAGAAGATGGTAGAGGAC